CTGGGCCTCCTTGTGAGGGGGCGGGGGTGCGGGGGGGGGGGAACCAAAGGCAGCTGCACATTAAGAAGCCTCCTCCGCGCTGCTCCGTTTTTGCAGTCAGCAAAGAAAGAGGTGGTTGCTTAGATCCCTGGTGGGCCCCCCCACATGGCGACCTTGCATTCATCCTGGTCAGTTACAAGCTGCCCAGGCCTGCCTCTGCTCAGTGAGAGAGCCTCTGAACATGCCTGGAGGGCCCTCCCCTTCCTACTGTATCGCCCCAGCATGCCTCCATGCACCAGCCTTCAAAGTGCAGCATTTCCAAGGGAATAGTGTTGCTGTCCTGTGCTGTTAGGAGCTCTAGGATAAGCAGAAATTCAACGGGTAAAGCTTTACCAAGCACTGTGTCTCTGTGCACAAGGAAAGTGTACCACCTCTACCACGGAAGGCAAAAGCCCCAATTCCTGTGTCCCCACCCACCTGCAGATCACACAAGAATGAGGCCACATTTCAAGATGCTGAGGGATTTTTATCAACAGCCCAACACCTTTTGGCCTCAGGGCGTTCTTCAGCAGCTTCCTATAATGTATGTATGTAACCCGAGGTACCACTGTAAAACCAAACAGTGTCAAAGTGATTTTTTTCCACCTTTCACAGCCTTCACTCTTCCTGACAACTTTTCAGCTAAAGCAATTTGACAAATGTTTGTGTTCCAAAGATAATGTTCGTCCCAGACCAGTTTTCCTGAGCTTACTGATCAGATGATCAGCTGCCATTTGATGGTTCATTTTCTAGAAACCAGGCATTGATAAAATTTGTATTTATTCATTTTTTAAAAGAATTATAGCCTGTTTAATCAAAATATCAATAAAGCTCTAAGTGGTTTATTCATAAGGAAAGCATTGATAAAATCGACAGACTTTAACAATAAGTAGACCTATTAAAATGATCAAAACGGAGATAAAATCTACAGAGCTTAAGAACAAATATACATCATAAAATTGCATGTCTAGTCAGGCTTGCCTAAACAATTTATTTTAGCAGGCACCTAAAACAATGCCACAAAGGTTCCAACCCAATATTATCTGGAGCAGGCAGGGTGTTCCAGAGCTGCTGCCACACTATAAGACATGGTTGCTCCTTGGTGTGTAACAAATACTGTAAGGCGCTTTCAAAATTATCACATGCCTGCGAGCACCAACTTAATGTGCTACCTCCCTCTGCAGTCAGGCAAGACAGGCATTGTATTAGGCCTTATCTCATTCCTGTGTGCTGCTGTTTCTCACGCAGGAACTCTTATGACCCTGTACATGCAGTCTCTCTCTCACTTTTCTTTTTCCTTTTGATAGCCAGCTGCGTGAATCATTTGTTTGGGCCTCTTTTCAGCCGGAAAGAGATCAAAGGTAGGCAAGTTTGTGGATGGCAAAGAGATGAAAGGTTCAGGAAAGGGGCAAGGCATGGAAGGAGCGCTGGCCAGTGGACCCCACACCAGCTACTCTGCAGGGCTGCTTCAAGACATTTTGCTGCCTGAGAAGATACACACGTGCAATTCAACAGGACTGACAAATGAATCTTACGAATCTCGTACTTCCACACCAGAGACAAGATAGCAGCATCAACAGGCTTTCTTAAGAGGCACAGGGCAGGTAGAGGGGCAGTGGAACCCCACACTTTCCGTTTCTTGAATTGCAGATGTTCATGAGGTTGATATTTGTGTTTTTGTTTTTTTGCTATTTATTTGCTGTTTTTTGTTTGTATGGCTTTTTTCATTTTTTACAGGACCAAGGCCGTTTAGGGCTTTAAAGGTCAGCACCAACACTTGGAATTGTGCTCGGAAACGTACTGGGAGCCAATGCAGATCTCTCAGAACCGGTGTTATGTAGTCCCGGCGGCCACTCCCAGTCACCAGTCTAGCTGCTGCATTCTGTATTAATTGCAGTTTCCGGGTCACCTTCAAAGGTAGCCCCACGTAGAGCGCGTTGCAGTAGTCCAAGCGGGAGATAACCAGAGCATGCACCACTCTGGCAAGACAGTCCTGCGGGCAGGTAGGGTCTTAGCCTGCGTACCAGGTGGAGCTGGTAGACAGCCGCCCTGGACACAGAATTAACCTGTGCCTCCATGGACAGCTGTGAGTCCAAAATGACTCCCAGGCTGCGCACCTGGTCCTTCAGGGGCACAGTTACCCCATTCAGGACCAGGGAATCCCCAAACCCGCCCGCCCCCTGTCCCCCAAAAACAGTACTTCTGTCTTGTCAGGATTCAACCTCAATCTGTTAGCCGCCATCCGTCCTCCAACCGCCTCCAGGCACTCACACAGGACCTTCACTGCCTTCACTGCTTCTGATTTAAAGGAGAGGTAGAGCTGGGTGTCATCTGCGTACTGATGAACATCCAGCCCAAACCCCCTGATGATCTCTCCCAGCAGCTGCATGTAGATGTTGAAAAGCATGGGGGAGAGGACAGAACCCTGAGGCACCCCACAAGTGAGAGCCCAGGGGTCTGAACACTCATCCCCCACCACCACTTTCTGGACACGGCCCAGGAGAAACGGCCCACCGATAAACATTAAAAGCCATTATGAATCTTGTGACACTTTAAAGACACAATGCATGGCACAAACATTCATGGACTAGAATTATTTTCACCAGATTTGAAAAGCATAAACTTAGCAGTTTTCTGCAGCAACCATAGACACACCTGTGTATGGTAGAGCAGGGAGCTGTAAACAATGGGGTTAAATAGGCAGTGAAATGCGAAAAGTACAGTCTGTGCAGTCTTGACAAACAGTACAATGTTTAGTGTTTGAAATTATCAGATCCCCGTCCTTCCAAAGGCAATAACACTCCTCGGGGAAAATGTGAGCTCAGGAACAGGAGTCATTTCAATACTTGGCCTTTATCCCCAGCTCCGCTACTCTGAGACCATTGAAGGTGCCTCCAGACATTTTGCTGGGTCAAGGGGAGGGGGGATTCCAGTTCATGCCAGAAGTTAAGCTTTGCTGAGTTAAAGCAGATTTAAAAAAAGAACAGACGTTTTATGCTTACAATGGGGAACAAATAATTAACAGGAAGATGTGTAAAGACCCTGCAAGCAAATCTGTATAAATTCAGGATGATTGTCATAAACAAACGAGAATACTCGATAAAGACATAGTGTGACCACTGCAGAGTGTTGTGGAAGCAACTCATGATGAATGCTGACTGAACAGGTGATCTGAGGAGCCCTGAGCTCGCTGAAGGGGATCTGCCTTTATCATTCTGTTGCTTGACCTGCAAATCTAATCAACACATTCCCCAAGCTACCCAGTTTGGCCTCTGATGCTTTTAACTTGAAATTAACCTTCAGCTGCGTTAATATTGTTATAGGATTCAGAAAGGTGATTCTGCCTAATACCTATGGGTCCCTTCCAAGCCTGTGTAGCAGCCCAGCCAGTTCCTTTCCACTCCTGTTCTGCCCTGATGAAGAATTCTGGAGCACTCCAACAATTGTAAACTTTAAATATATTTCATTTAGGCTAGCAGGTGGCTGGAGGGTAGGAAAACACAGCCAATTGCAGCAAGGAATACTTACTAGCTCAAATGCAAACTGTTACCTTTGCCACAGAAGTTTATGTTATTTACTGATGGCATGGGTGAAGAGCAAATCCAGTCATTGGTTCCCTTGGATCCTAAGGTAAATGAACTTAAGGAAGTTCGTGGAAGGCAGTTTCCCATTCCTCTTTTCCTTCCCCCAGCAGGAGAGTGGCTTGGAATCCTACTCTGCAGAGGACAGTCCTCTGTTTGAAGCTGCCCTCTGTTTGCAGGGCTTCCCAGTCCAAGTCCATCTTAAAGTTTAGGAACCACAAGAACCAAAGAGCATAAACCCTTTATGTTGCCCATCAACAACACACTGAGTTGGCACATGACTCACCTGGTCACATTCTTTCTCACTGTGGTGAGCTGTATTGTACAGTGGTACCTTGGTTCTCAAACTTAAACTTTTCTGGAAGTCTGTTCCAAAACCAAAGCACACATTTCCCATAAAAAGTAATGGAAAATGGATTAATCCGTTCCAGACTTTTAAAAACAACCCCTAAAACAGCAATTTAACATGAATTTTACTATCTAACTAGACCATTGATCCCTAAAATGAAAGCAATAATCAATGTTCTGTACTATAAAATAAATAAGACAGTATTGTAGAAGATAAAAATTAAAATTACTTTTTTTTCTTACCTGCATGATGATAGTCATTGTTTGGATGGGGGGCTTTTATTGATTTCCACAGTCAATCAATCAATCAATCAATCAATCAACCAACCAACCATAAAACGAAAAACAAGCCACAGTCATAAAAATGAAAAAGCCATACAAACAAAAACGCAAAAAATAGCAAAAACAAAAGCACCAAATATCACCTCAGAACACTGCAATCAGAAACGGAAGGCTTTAGTTATGATGGGGTGGGGCTTAAATTAGCTGCTCAAGGAAACAAACAGAATGAAAAAACCTTTATTATGATGGGGGGGCTCAAATGAGCTGTGCAACAGTGAAAATGGAAGCTCAAGAGCATGTTTGGCTTCCAAGGCAAATTTCAAAATCCAGAACACCTACTTCCGGGTTTGCAGTGTTCGGGTTCCGAGCTGTTTGGGAACTAAGCTGTTTGAAATCCAAGGTACCACTGTATTTCTATTTGAAATATGGAAATTGTTTCTAAATTTGCAGCTATACATATTGCGAAGGAATCGAACTGTAGTCCCCGACTGCTTACATTTATCCTTGTATTTACTGTAGCATGGGAAATTATGTGTTACACACCATCCCAATATCTGAGTGTCAAGAGACTCCAGGGGCGCCAGCACTTGCCCAGGGTTTGGCTTCCTTGGAATGAAGGTCAGTGGAGACAGTGGAGTCTTTAGGATATCTGGTTTTATGCACGCGCGCGCGCACACACACACACACACACACACACACACATATATACACCCTGAGCATAGGATGGAGGGGCTCACAGCATTAACACACGAAATGATCTTGCTTCTCCATTAGTCACAGCTTTGGATCCAGCACAAAGCAGGCATGTCTCTGTGTCTCCACCTTCCAGCCTCTTCCAGCTCATTCACACACAGCTGTGGCCATTGTTCTCCTACCTAGCTGCTAGGTGAGCTGGCTGGGGTGTGGGGAGGCCCACTCTTCTGTTCTATTGTGCAGAGCAACTTCATGGTGCTGAACTAGTCAGCCAAAGCCATTGCCCAGAGAGGGAACTGGTCTGGAAAACTTGCTCTTACACATTCTACCCCCACAGATACAGGATCCCAAGAGCTGGAAGGGACTCAGGACATCATCCAGACTGACCTACCAAACTCACCTTGTTGCCCCTTATTTGGGGAGTATAGGGTCAATCCAGTGGGTAGATCACCACCAGTTTTTTAATTGTGAGAATAGATCACAGTCTCTTGGAAGCTGGACAAGCCTGATCTAGGGTATTCCCTCCCACAGAAATAAACAACAACCATGTCATCACGGGATGCAGTCAGAAGGTGGCAGGCGGAGGGGGAGCTCAAATGAGGCGATGATCCAGTCCCACCTCCACCCTGGCCAAACCTTTCCCTGCCCAAGTCCCTTCTCAAGCTGCCTTCCCCTCGTTGCCAAGGCAACACGATGGTTCAGCATCAGGTGATTTGGCATCAAGATCCCTGCCTGGGGTTTGTTCGGGCTGCCAAGAAACAAAAGAGCTATGTGTAAGGATGGCACAGATAGCCTTTTCTCTCATCCTTTGTCAGTGCGCTTTTTAGAGCCAAATGTGCTCTAAGGCTGATTCCAAAAATTATTCAGCCTTTGATCACACACACTCATTGAACAACTCACTAAATGGATGAATGAGTAAAAGAATGAATGAGCAAACAAACAGCGCATGTGCATTTATATGTGAACTGTGTCACAAAAGCAACCAATTATGCACATTTGACGCATTTCGCAGAAAACTCAAGAAAAGTGGAGCGGATACCTCTCTCAAACAAACTGACCATGGGCTCAGCAGCAGCTGCTCACATCTCTTTACTGCCTAATGGTCAAGCTTATTAACACACCTTGTAATATATCTTGGTATTTAGAAACAAAAACCCTGGTTACCTGCCAATAGAATTGTCCGAGGACAACCAAGCGATGTTGATAAATAAAATATCTCTCTGAGCATAATTTTAATTTACACAGTAAGTAATGGAGAGAGAAAATTTGTTACCATTGACTAAGGTGCAGGCACCAGTGGTCACCCATAACTGTATGAACAGGGTGGGGGGAGGGAAGAAAGGCGTATGTAGCCGGAAGAAAGGCAAATAGCAAATGTGGAGAAGCTTGAGGCTCAGGTGGCCTCAGCGGCCCAGAGGGCCTTCCATTAGCTTCAGCTGGTGGACCAGCTCTGCCCCTCTCTGAACAGAGAGAAGCAGCTTTACTTCTCTTGTCTTTGCTCTAGTAGCCTCTGGGTTAGATTACTGCAACACGTTACACGTGGGGCTGCCTCTGAAGATGGTTCGGAAGCTTCAGCTGGTGCAGAATTTGGTGGCCAGGTTGCTCACCGGGGCAAGACGGTTTGAGCAGATTATGCGAATCCTGACCTGACGGCACAGGCTGCCAAATAGTTTCTGGGCCCAGGGTAAAGTGCTCGTTTCGACCTAGAAACCTTAAACCGCTCAGTAATACCTCAAGGACTGCCTCTTTCCATACAAACCTACCTGGACCCTGCAAACACTATGTGAGGCCCTTTTTTGTGTGCCTCCTCAGCAAGAGGTCTGGATGGTGGCAACATGAGAACGGGCCTTCTCTGCAGTGGTGTAGCATCCTGCTTGTGGTTAACGCTTAGCTGGAATGAAATATTCAACGCAGCAACAGAGAAATTAAATAATAATTTATTTGTCAGACAAATAAATGAGAGGCACAGTGGTATATGGTTACCAAGCTCTGGCCTGCCTCCTGCCATTATGGCCAGCACTTATATTCCCTTAATCCAGCCCCCTTTGCTCCTCCTTGGGCTGCCTCTGTCCCATCAGCCTGGTTGAAATTCCTATTGGCTGATTAGTATAACCAATCACAAAAATACACTCATATCCTCCTGTCCTTATAAGGGAGACAAAGAGCTATATATAAATGACAAATAAGTAATAATATATCTTACATGGAATCTTAATTACCAGCTCACCTCTTGCCCTCCTTGCCCTATTGCCTTCTAAAACAAATGGTTAATCTTAAATTTTTATCTTAAACATATGTCAAGGATCTTGAGTTTCACATCAATATTGAAAGATCTCCTTCATTTGAAGGTTTCTAAACAAATATCTGACAACTTATATATCAGAATTGCTCGGATGGCGTCTTCTTGTCTGGCAGGGGGCTGGACTCAATGGCCCCTGTGGTCTATTCCAACTCTAGGACTCTATGATTCTATGAAATAAGAATCTAACATCTAAATTTGTTACTTTCTAAATCCTTTGCATAGTTACATTTAAGCCAGCATATTTAATACACAACACAGGTAGCTTCTTTAAAAGAATAAAGCCTTTTTAAAGAAGAAAAAGAACTCAGTAAAAAGGAACACAGTAAAAAACCGTTTTAAAAGAAGCCTCTTCCCTGTTCATACTTCCCCCCCTTCTCCAGCCAGTCGCTTTGTTTTCCATGTGCTCTTGGCCTTTTGACCTTAGGCTCAAGTTTAATGGAGGCACATGGTTTTATTTTACTATTTACTCATTCCTAATTATGTAGGGTCTGTGTAACCTTGGTCTTCAGCCTGTAATTCCAGCTTTTACGACTTTGAGAATTGTTTTCTGCTATCTATCAAGGGGCCCCTTGTCTAGGAAGAAAACACTGTCAGTGTTTTCTTAAGCAGCTAGCCTTCTTGCCTGGCATGAAACTTTTGAAAATCTAAGCCCATTTAATTTAGGAACCTGATCAAATATAAGCCAATATATGCCTTGATTAAAAATGCAGTCTATATTCAGATGCCACATTCCCCCCTTTCAAGCTCAAGGACCTGGCTACCAAGCGTCCTTGATAGCTTGATCTTACAATGCCACATTCCTGAGGTAAGGCTCTATATAGGGCCATGATATGAGGTAGAGTTTCATTTGAAATCATCTGGCTAATTGTACTCCTAAAACATGAGATGATACATGGCACCATACATAAAACCATTATCTGAAATGTTAAAGCAACAGGCATTCCCTGTCAAGTTCAAGACTCCACACAGGCCTCCCTGCCTGGCAAGTCATCCAACTGTCGTGCAATAAGTCTCAAACTCTGGGCCGTTGCATTGGTTACAAGTTCCACTACTGCTTGTAATCGAATTATTCTGTTTAGATTATAAATAGGATCCCGTGCCCCTTGTATGAGCTCACCAGGATTCCAGGAGGCAGGATCATAATAGGCTATTATGCGCTCTGGCGGCCAATCATCAGTACCGCTCCAACTTTGGGTACTTCCTCCTGCTATACGAGAAATATCAGCATTTCTTCGTGTTCGCTTGGCTGAACTAGTGGGCAAATCCACATTGGTGGTAATACCCATCCCAGGAAACAAGTCCCACTCCATTTGGAAGGGAGTTTCTTGTATGCCCATTCTCCACATATCCACCACAACCATCGGGTCTGAGGTTTTTGGTATGTGGAGTGCATAAGGCAAAATATCAAAAGGGGTATAGAGTTCACAGTGCAGTATGTTAGATTGCCTTTTTCTGTCACAGTTATGTTCCATACCACTTTCCATGCATGAATAAAAGGAGGTGCACAGGGCAAGGCATTCCGAGTTCGATAGGTAGTACCGTGTGCCCAGGTATTCTTAATATAATCCCAAGTATAGTGGCAATGAGAAGAGCCTACCATGGGAGAATCAGCTGCATCTGATGATTTATGTACACAGAATTCCCCTTGTACAGGTATAACTCATAATGATTTAGTTGAGTTCCATCCGGGGAAATTCTGTATTTCTGTTTGGTGTGGCATTTCGCTTACCATACCAATGGCATCTAATGGTATCGGTAATAAGGGCATACCTCCCTCTGAATCATCTGGCCCAAGAGAGCAATCAGCAATTGGTCCTATTTGCCACATTGCCTACCATCGCAGCTAAGCCTACCCACATATTGTGGTCATGGCTGAATCCATATTTAGCAAATTTGGTCAGATTCAAGGACCCTCCCCTTCCCAAGGGATCAGGATTAATAATAAAATCATGTTGATGTCTAGCATATGCATTCCTTCCACAAAAGATTACCTTATTGTGATAGCATAAAACTATTAGTCCCAATATAATTCCCCCAGTGACAGAAATGGGGAGCCACCAAGACCAAAACATATATCCCAAGAATCCCCAATGTGTAATATCTCTGATAATTGTTCCACAAGGGGGCAGTCAATCAATTGTATAAGAGAATCTTCCCGCTCACAGTCGCTGGTTCAGACGCTCCTCAAGCTTCAGGCGTGCGCAGGTCAGCCAGCTTCCAAGTTGTGGCTGCAGCAGGCCGGTCGTCTAATGTTGCCCGTGACCTAGCCGTTCCCGGTAGGGCTAGATACAGGGGTTTTTGGAGAGAGTCAGTTTAAGAGGATTAGAGGGGTCACCTTTGCACGTCCAACTGCCTTCGGACTTCTTCAAACGGGAGTGATGAATCCAGGGGGTCACCTCAGCTACCTTCACCGCTGTTAGAGTAGAGAGCAAGACGGTGTAAGGTCCACGCCACTTAGGTACAAGTGGATCACGTTTCCACTCTTTCACCCATATGCTATGCCAGCCTGGAACTGATGAATCGGCAGGCAATGCTGCACGGCGTGCTCGAGGGCCCACCTGTTAAGATAAAAACAACAACAACAAACAAACACGGGAGAGAGACAAAAACACGGGAGAGAGATTGCACTTGTCCCTGTGTTGCATGGTCTCCTATTTGTTTGAGGTCAGTTGGAATATCCTGAACAAAGGAGGGCGGCCTCCCATACAGGAGCTCAAAAGGTGACAACTTAAGTCTTTTTGTGGGTGCACACCGAACACGAAACAGTGTTATGGGTAACACATCTACCCTCCTGAAACTTTAGACATATTAGTGGGCTTCTGGCATGCCCTGCAGATACCTTGCACAAGCATCTGGCGGTAGGTGGTAAGCCTGGCCAGGTGAATTGCATTGTTTGGATCCCAATTAGGATCTTCCAAGGGAAAGTTTTCCTGGAGATGACGGTCAATATTAAAAATATTTCCCACTCTGGCCTGCTCACGCAAATATATCTGTGCCTTTTCAATTATGTCTCTCCTTTCCTCAGTGGTGAAGAGAGTATTTAGGAGCTGGCGACAACCTGTCCAAGTAGGACTATTACTATTGAAGTCACCAAGTCCATCATAGCCTGAGGTTTTTCTGCGAAAGATGGGGTGTTTTCCAATTCATCAGATCCGTAGTTGTGAATGGAATGTACTGGAGGATAGAAGTTCGAGGTGGCCTTGGTCCAGGTTGCCCATTAACCAGCACAGGCTCCTCAAGTGCATCAAATACTCTTCTAAGAGGGGCTACTACGTGACCTTTTTCTTCGCTTTGCTCTAGGGGCCTCAAATCATAGGGGATGGTATCTGTCCCAAGGCGTTCTTTTAGCAGCTCTATACGCCTGGCTGTATTGTTTGCTGACCGATTAGGGTCTCCCTGTAACTTCTGTAATAATAGATGTACAGGGGTTTGGGGTAGGCAATCAG